CCCTGGTCTGCGGAGGAATGAGCAGGGGGGAGTGAGGATAATGACCCCGATAGCGGCACTGTTTGCACTGGCTGTGCAGTAGTGAATTTATCCACTTCCTCCTTTACTCCATCCTCCTCCTCCTCATCATCATCGCCATTGTCATCATCATCATCATCGTCATCGTCATCACTTCCAAAATTTTCATCTACTCCTGTTGCATGCAAATGTTGGCCTATCTGGCTCATTACAGCCTTCAGGACATCTTCAAAACGATGGCCGCTTTGATCAGCGATTTTCTTAAGTTCAGCAATGTAGTTGGGCTGATGGCTGCTGCTGCTGTCCTCTGTGGCTGCGTACTCGAGTGCCAAAGCAGTAACGTGGAACACAAGGTCAGTATCCGTTTGAGAGGAGTAAGTATAAGGTAGGAGCGGTTGCAATGCGGAAAAAGTAGTTAAATCCGCAAACTCAACGATCAGGTTTTTAAAAAAAGGGCTTGAGTGATCAGTTACATACAAAATGCAATTAAGTTTACCGTAGCTACTCAAGCAATCAAGTATTTCTTCATCGGCCTTGGTATTAGTAGCACCAGTAATCATCACTGACTGTGATATATTTATACCAGATTGCGCAACAAAATCCATCTTTTCTCTTTTTTTTTTTTTTTTTAAGTTGTTTACTTTGAATATTTTACTCATAATTTCATTACCCAAGACTAAAATAAATGTTCAGAGATGTAAATAATTAACACACAAAATATTCACACCCACAAGCTCCTGGCTAGCTCGCCACGTGTAACGCTAATTAAGGCTAGGCGCCTGACTATGGCCAGTATAGTTATAGGCAATCAGAAAGGTTCGGCTGAGGAGCTCGTGTGTGTGAATAAAACACCGTCAGACAGAAAGTAAAGTTAACTTATTGTATTTAAAGTTGTACATTTATGTAGATTTAGTTAGATATCTTATAATAATAATAATAACAATAATTTCCAATAAACATAAGCAAATAAACACAACAAGGAAAAAACACAAAACAATAGCAGGAAAGAATAAATAAACCCAGATGACACCCAAGAGTTTTTTTTTTTCTATTTTCTTTAAGTCCGTTCTGGAGTCTAGAGTGATTATTGTCCATCAATCAATACTCCACAGTTTTAAATCCATGATCCAGG